GGAAGTAGGACGTGGGCACTGAATGTGTCCCCAGCCGGCGTTGTAATAACCGTCGATGGTTAAGTAGTTAGATTATATACGCTGGAAGAGGAGATCGGATCGGAGGTCCGGGTAGCGTAACTGGCAACGCATCTGCACGGTAAGCAGGAGTTGTGGGTTCGAGTCCCGCTCCGGGCCGATTTTTTCTCCCAGCGGTTCCAAATTATTTAAATTAATTAAAATTATTTATAATTATTAATATTAATAAGAGATGGCGCCTAACGCTTACCTCTAGTACCAAATTGATTACGTAATTTATCTAATAATTAGCATAAAACTAGCCCGATAGATTTTCGGCAGTCTGTTGGTTGTAGCTTTGTTGCTTTATTTTCATTTTATTTTTGTATTATAATTTGGAACGATATTTAACGGTAAAGATGTCCAACAAATATGTAGCCTGATGTTGGTCTATTGAATAGGTTTAAATCGTTTGCCAAATAAAATGAATTTCAGCAGAAAACCGGTGTTTAAATTAATAATATATTTTAAATTACTGTATGTTTTATTATCGTTAAAAAACTGTATTTATAGCATAATATTTAACATTAAGTTGTAGCATAATATATAATATTTAAATTTATTTCTTAATTTTAAGCTCAGAACCGATTTTATTCGATAAGTTATGACAGAAAATACACAAACACTTGATTTACTATTAAAACATTTATCATGTAGCTCAAAAACTCGGTTCTTTGGAAATCAATTTTGTGAATATATGTAAAAAATGCCGTGCTCTTTATCGGCCAAACTATAAACAGTTGCATTTTCAAACTTCGCCAGAAATCGTTTATCCTGGCCTTTTTTCTACCCGGCGAATTTCATTGAAAAATATTGCTGCATCCCAGGTCATTTAAATGATGAAAACTCTGAGTTTTCATAACTTAGATGACCTGGGTACCTGCAATATTCCCTATAGGGCAAATATTAAGAAAATTGACCTTTCTCTATTTTCTGAAAAGTTATACGCATAGATTTTTATTTTACTCTAACACAACTAGGAAATCAATGTGGTTTACTTCCTAAACGTCCTTTATCTATACTGATATTTAAAACTTCAAAAAATGATATACGGTTGATTTGCTATTATCTATAGTTAAAATGCTCACCACCATTCTTTCAGAGTGATTCGCTTTATTTTGGTACATTTTTTAAAACTTATTTACGAATATTCGTAATCTTCATATTCTGTATCTAAGCGTGTATAATGACTTAATTGTTAACACAAAAACATTTAAATTTATCTTTTGGGTTCAAAAGTTATGATGCTTTAAACTCAGTTTATTCTATTTGTTTTATCTTTCCTATTTTATCTAATAAAATACAACACAGAAAATTTCATTTAATATGCAAGAAAAATAAATTTATTAGCAAAACGGAAAATTTTCGAAAATTTGAAAAATTTTCGTTACTCTCTAATAGTTTCAAGAAAAACGAAAGTGAATGTAAAAATTAGAAAACACTGAGGATGGAGAAAACATTTTGTAAAATTATTGTAAATTCGATGTAATGCTTACGTGATGTTTCTTGCGTTTAAACGTGATTTTTTATTTTTTTATTTTTCAGAGCACTATATGTGGATGCCGATATTTTCCTTCTGGATGATCCTCTGAGTGCCGTTGATGTTCCAGTAGCAAAACATATATTCGACAAGTAAATATTTAAATAAATATTTTATGTATATTTTAATATATTCCAATTCTTTGCTTATTTTCAGATGTATAATGGAATATCTGAAACACAAGATTTGCATTCTCGTTACGCATCAAATACAATTTTTAAATTCTGCAAGTAAAATTTTAGTGTTAAAGAAGGTGAATACCTGAATTTCTTTTTACTAGTTTTTGTTTTATAAATCATTTTCTACAGTAATGAAAACACTATAATTTATTTTAACAAAACATAAATTCACACAGTATGAAGTTCAGAATAAAATTAACCATTATAATTAATATACAGTAGAGCATCGATTATCCGACTTAATTGGGGACTGGAGTTGGTCGGATAACTGAAAAAACGGATAACCGAAAAATATGAAAATATACGTTATTAGTATAGTATATTAGTATATCTCATGTAATTAGTATATTAGTATATCGCTATTAACCTACTTCGCGTTGAATTTTCATCGATGTTAAGCCTAACAAAAATTTTTTAAAATAATAATCGTCGCTTTTGTATCGTTAAAAATTAGAAAATTAAGCCTCGTTTAAATACTGGCTCCCTTTCATGGTCGAATGAGTGTTGTCAGCTACACGTAAAAATAATATCAAAGTAGCCAAGACATAGCCAAATATTGTAGCGCAACATCACTAGCGGACATTTGAAATTTGCCTACTAGGACGGTCGGTTAATCGGGGGTCGGATAATCGAGGCTCTACCTCATATTTTGTCTACTTGGACATTAATTATTAATAGGAGAATTATACTGGTTTTTAAGTTTTTACGCAAGAATTGAGTAAAAAGTTCTTAAAGAGAGTAGACATTCTTTATTGATCTACAGGTAGCTAAATAGAAAAAGTATACTTTCTTTAAGAAATTTTTACTCAATTCTTGCGTAAAAACTTAAAAAACCAGTATAATTGTCCTATTAATAACTAATGCCCAAGTAGGCAAAATTTTTATTAAGAAACTAAAGGACAGTAAGGCAATAATGATTAACCATTATAAATTTGACTGCACTAGTAAAAAGAACCATTACAACAAAGCTATATATGGACATCGTATCATGACATGTATGAACAATATAAAGAAATAAATTCTTTGGAAAAATAGTTTACCAGAAAATGATTCTTATTCCAGGATAAACACATAAAGAAAATTTGTAAAATTGTGATTCATATACGGTTGACACTTGTGAGTTTAATAACAATTATATTCACTTTCTATACGTGGCAGTAAATGCAGAATAGGACTTGCATTGCAATTTAAAAATGCATTTGTAAACATTACTAATAATACATTTGATTCCGGTAAATTCGGTATACATTAGTTAAAACGTAATACATCTTCGAATCAAAAGTTTTGTCTGCATACTTGTTTATATATTAAAAATTCAAAAACAATTTCAAAGTTGTGTTTTTAAATTTCAGGGAAAATGTGAGTTCATTGGAAATTTTAATGTATTGGAAAATTTAGAAATGCTTACAGGAATTTTGCCAAAGGAAGAAGTCGCTAAAAATAGCATGGATTTAGAGACTGCGGTTTTCAATGATGAGGAAATAATAGGAATCATTCATCCTGAAGTAAATGATTACATTGAAGACAATCACGACGGCGATGCGGTAAGGATTACTTGTTTATTAGACTACTATCTCAGTAAAAATTAACAGAGTAAAATAACTGATGTTAAGGAGTTTTAATTTTTTTTAATTGAATTTATTAACTTTTTCTCGTAAATGATTTCTAATTACAACAAAAATTATTCGATCATAAAGATTAATTGTTATAAACGATTTAAAAACGTTTTCATTGGATAATACTTCTATCTTTATATTTCTATTAGCGTTAATGTTTTAATAGCTGAGGCATAATTTTGTGCGAGATATAAAAAGCGCCTACTGGGTCAGGATCTGACATCAGTTGTGAATTTAATTTGGACAAAAGAACCCCTGTTATAGCGCGAAAGCCGGAGCGGTGCGGCTTTCGCGTTTGTGGAAAACTTGTGGTCTGCGACCAAAGGAAAAATTTCAGACAGGGAATCAGAAATGATTTTATTTTCTACGAATATCATACAAAACAATAAAGATTTTTTAAGCTTAAAAGATTATTGACGTAAATTACAATAAGCAGAAATTATATCTAAACTAGATTTATCCCATAGTTTACCTGCTAGTATGTGAAACTACTACAATAATTATAAATCACTAACGATTACGTCTATAAACGCCCCTATCTCTGAATGAGTGAGATTACAAATTGATTTGTATCGAGAAAATAACTATCCCGAGGAGTTCCTTCGTTGATTCGTTCCTTTTGTGGTTAGCTATCTTGGCGAATATATAAAACAATATCCCTTGAAAAAGGTACAGTTTTATTGATATGCTGGCATAAATTGGGATGATGAAACAATGGAATCTTCATGGAAATTTCGATCTTAAACAGGAACTTCTCTATATTTTTGTTTTTCTATATATATGTTTATATATATACGTTTATATATATATTCTCTATATATGTTTTGTATTGTTATTGTTTCCCTTGTCTCTGGTCATGCCCAAATTTGGAAAAATCAAATAGATAGTTCAATCTTAAAAATCAAATAGAATTATTCAATCTTAGAATTGTTTTTTGTTGAACTTCCTCAGGTGAATCGAACATAATGATAATATATGTTGAGATAAATTTCTTATTTTTCTTTTATGCAACTTTTGATTTTTTTACTATATTAGAACTAATGATCAAACAAAATAGAATAGTTTTATTGGTTTCTATATAGAAATTAACAATAACACATCTGATTTCCAGTTATATGAAGAAGTTACATCTTATATTAGAAAAAGTTATATCTTATATTCTTATGGTTCGAAAATAATATTAAACTATTGCTTCAGATTTAAGAAAAATTTAACTAATAATTATATATACAGTTTAATTATCTTTCGTAGGAAGATAAAAATAACAAAATACCACGCGACAATAAAGGAGTTAAGAAACCAGGAATTTCAGTCTATAAAGCATACGTGAATGCCGGAGCAGGACTTCTCTTCAAGATCGTTATTTTATCCACGCTAATTATATCGCAATCCGTTACCAGCGCCAGCGACTACTGGCTAATCAAATGGTATGATATTATTATAAGTTAGCATACTTTAAGACATGAACAGATTTTTAAACAAAACGTTTAATTAAAACAATGTTATATTACATAAGCCATATTGCATTTAGCACTGGTTTCAGATACTGTATTATCAATGACCAAACAATTGCAATAAATATATAATTTTATAAATATTTTAACTTACAGTATTATGTGGCATTCAAAATAAACGTCATAATAAAATTTTCAAACATAAGATATAATCAATACAATGAATTATAATAAGAATATTTATATATACATATTTTTAGAGTTAAAAAAAAAATATATATATCTTAGCCCAATAGTTCCCAATTAGTGGTAAACGTACCCCGAGGGGTACACGAAATTGCGTGAAGGGGTACGAGCGGCAATCTAAAATCGGTCGATTTAAAATTTAAATGCATTAGATGAAGCAATCAAAAAAATAATGAGTGGACCATCAAACATTCGGTAATTTATAATACGATGTCGAATGCACAAATTCGTTTATTTATAACTAAAAATATTCTCGAAATGTCATCAAAAAATGCATTTGTGACAATAACCAAATGAAATTCTTACGCAAGAACAAAAATTGTACAGTTAACACAATTTGTGTTAGTTGTACAATTTTTGACATAATAATAATGATAATTGTACATTTGTACAATTATCATTATTGTTAACGAAGCGGCAATAAAATATTTACTACTATTTTGCACAACATACCTCTGCGAGAGCGGATTTTCGGCCATGACAAACATCGTCACCGACTTCAACTCGAAGATAACTCGAGACTGAAGCTGACCAAAACGCAACCGAATTTTAACAACTTGTGAAAAGAAAATCGTGCACATTTGTTACATTAAAATTAAATAACCTTATGTTATTTTCATTATTGTATTCTAAAGGTAAAGAGGTAATTTTAAATGTAAAAATAAAGGTAATTTAAAGGTAACTTAATACAATCAGTATTAAGTTACCTTTAAAATACTATCATTATTGTATTAAGGTAATAAATAAATGTAAAAAAACTTATTCTATTTATCACTAGCTGTCTACCCACAACTTCGCTCCGCATTATATCAAATTTTTTCGTGGGAGTAATATATTTTCTCGCTGTAAAATATAGCCCATGTCTATCTACAACATGTAAGCTATCTCTGTGCCAAATTTTATTAAACCTGTTCGGTGGTTTAGACGTGAAAAAGCAACAGACAGACAGTTAGAATTACCTTCGATTTTATAATATTAGTATGGATTAATATAAATTTCTGCTATAAGGGGTACGCGAGTTTGACCTCTTTTTTGAAGTGGTACGCAGGAAAAACTAATTGGAAACCACTGTTCTAGACAAATAAATTTATTTTTTAAATTTAAACTTAAAACTTAATGTTAGCAGAAAAAATGCTTACTTCAGTACTTTGCTGAAATAAGTTTTTCGAATGATTAAAATATTTAAAACATTTTTTTGCACTAAACATCAAACATAATTTAATTTTTACGAGCCCACCAGTGGCCAAGCTGTCTTTTTATCCTGAACACTGGGTGTTCAGTCGTGGGTTCGAGCCTCACTCAGACAGGCTGACCACGGGTTTTCTCCACGTCTATAACGCTTAACTAGGGGCCAGTTTCCCTTAAAATGTTTTCGCGAAAATCATCCCCCCTAGGCAGATCGCCCAAGTGTTGCGTTGCCATAATTTAACAAACAAACAATTTCATTTATTTGTACTGCATCATTGAGGCAGGTGGAACTAAGTACATTAGAAAAAGTTATTTGATTTACATATCTTGTCCCAGTGTCAAGCATTGTAGTAGTAGATTCCAACATCTGATTTTTTAGCAGATAGGAATATATCAAAGTATAGACAATTTTAGTAGTAGTGGTTTTGGCAATACTGATAAAAAAATTAAAATTACATAAATGAAATAAAGATTGCAAATAAAAATTTGTCGAATGGAATTATTTCAAATAACAAAATTAATTTTTCGATCACAACTTTTAATTAAATTAATTTTATTTTAACAATAAGACAATGTTTAATATATTTTTTCTAAGTATTATAAAATTAATTTGCAATAATAATTTTTACAATTTGTTCTAATATGCAAGTAAATTAAAACACGACAACTTAAATATATTATAACAATAACGCAAAGTAAAATAGTAAAATAGTTTAATATAATAATTATTTAAATTATATTTGTTACTTATTTATTAAATATCGTAAAGAGAACAATGCTTTTTAAAATATTTGTGGTAATAACAATTTTTTTAATATTATTCAATCTTAGATACCAAAAAAAGTTCAATGTCTAAATAATGGGAGTTTTAGTATTTGAAAAGTTTTTTGTCTATAGAATTTAAATCTATGAATTTTTTGCTATAAAATATACTTGATACTTTTTAACAGAATCTATGTAAATGTCTATTACAGCTTCTATAAGACTGTGTAATGTTTTTACAACCAACTGTCGATAACTTGAAATGCTACAAAATCTATTAGCATCGCATTCCGTAATTTATATAAGTAAAAATTACGATTAGTATTATTTTATATTTAATAAGAAGATAATAAAAAGTTTTCGTACATAAATATTTTTTACTGACCATATAGAATGTTCATTGATATATCAAATGTCTTTTTTTCCTATAATTCATATTACATATATCACGATTAAATTCAATTATTTCATCCATTTCATTACAATGTTGATGTAAAATATATAAAAACATAATTTTTAAATTTATATTGTAATTGAATTGAAATGAAACTTGTGTTTTTAAACTTTAGTTACTAAAATGAAATGAAAGTAAAAGATTATAAAGTATAAGAATTTAACTCAAATTGTGCAGTAGCAATAATAATAATATTAAAAAAGTGTCTTTCTTCAAATTAAATTTATACTGTGTGATTAAACCAACTCATTAAACTTTGAATTACTATATGGTTTATACTATACCATAATTTCTTTGAAATAATATTTATTTAACTGATAANATATATATATATATATATATAAACTCATCTCACTTTAATGTAAATTATTATATATCAACAATCATTAGGAATAAATTTTACAACAGTAGCGTAATTTATTTTAAAAATAACTTGTTTAATTAAGTTAACTAAAAATATAATAAAATTGTAACACTATCTGTATTAGTAATATATATATTAAAGTACGTACAATTAGATTAGTTTTAAATATATTTTAAAAATTTATTTATACTAATATGATTACATTTATTTATAGTATTAACTTATTATCAATAACATTATCATTTTAATTAATTTCTATACATTTAAATATATATTACTCAGTATTTATTCAAATATGATTAAGAAAGAGTTTACAGAATATTAAACTCCAAGAAAACGAAACTCTGATTGTAATTACTTAAAATTTGTTTTTCATATGATAGATATAAGCGGTGCAAATAACTGTCAAGTCTTGCCGATTTTTTATGTCTATCTGTTAAATTAAAAATTAATAATAGATTTATTATAAAAATCAGTTTTCCTGAACTCTAAAATATCTTTCTACAAACCTAAACTCCCAGAACAATGTGTTAAACAGATAATTTTATTGTAATGCATTGCAAATGCCTCAAAATCAGTAATCAGTCATATTAAAGTAATGTTAATAATAAATACTCACTTTCAAAATTTATTAAAACAGAATTCTATATCATATAAACTTACTTGAATAAAAATACTTACTTTCTGAAGATGATGATTATATCGAATCGAAATTTATATATATATAAGAATTTCGTTTAAATTAGTACAGCCTTATTGTTAAAATTAAATTAATTAAATTAAGATTTGTGATCGAAAAATCAATTTTTGATCTAAAATAATTTTATTCTTCAAATTTTTATTTGCAATCTTTAATTTAATTTTAAAATTTTAATGTAATTTTATTTTTGTGATCAGTACTACTAATGTTTCTCAATGATTCCAAGATTGTTTTCATCTGCCTTAAAATCAGTGGTATAACGATGACATCACAGCTATAAATTTCAAAATAAATTGTAGAACTCTGCTTAGTTTTTCCTTTAAATCATTTCATGTATATATACCGTTGTATTTCGACTACTGACTGCTTTATTATTCGGTAGATTTCAATATTATTTATATATACTGTATCACCTTTATTTAACAGTCTGAATTAGTTTAGTCGTATTTTGCTATCAAACGCATATTAAAAATACCAGAAAGTTTAATTTTTATTTTATATTTTCAGGGTGCATGATATTAGAATATATAGCAAAAATGAAGAGAATCTCGAAAACATGACATCTAATACAAGCCTTTTTAAGGAAATTAAAAACAAAAATTTATACTATACTAAACATTTCGACATGTATGTTTATGTAGGATTGATATGTGCTGTATTTCTAACGTCAATACCTTCCGGATTATTGTTATGGAAATTTTTTACAATTGCTTCTTTCAAGCTTCACAACAATATGTTTCGTTGTATCATTCGAACTCCGATAGCATTTTTGGATAACAACCCCGTTGGTACGTAAAATGTTTTATTTAATTTATTCTTAAGTTAAAGAGCTTTTAATTAAATACCGAAAGAAATTTTCGATAGCGTTACGTAATTACGCATGCTGTTTATACTCTCATGTAATGTATCACAGATATATTACAGTACAGGCATACAATTACCGTACTATAATATAAACAGTAAAATACAGTGGGTGATCGGTTACCGAACATCATCCATTCCAAAACGTTGTTCGCTATTTGAATTGTTCATTAACCGTTTATTGATTTACCATAGGAAATTTGATTAATTCGTTCTGGAGACCCCCAAAAAATAAAAAAATATATATACAGTTGTCCCCCCTATAAAACGATAGATACACGTTCCGTTTTTTATGAAATTGATGTTTTAGCAGACCTTGCCAATCACAGTCCGACACATGTGAAGTTTACGGAGTACGGCTCTTTGAAAGATTTTCTTCCATAAAATTAATCGATTCCTAGACTAATTCGACTCAACATTTCCAAAATACGTATATTTTTTTGGGAATAATCCGTATAAACTATACTATAAACAAAAAATTGTAGGTTTACTTACCGAGTGTGCACCGTTTGACGTCGCCATTGCTTAAGCTTGTTTTGTCTCGGAGCAGTGCACCAAACGGCGGGCGCAATTTCTGATAAGTTATTTTTCTGCGAAAACTTCGTTGAACTTTGGAGACATCATTAATATAAATAATTTTTATGGCCGTTGAATAAGAAATGTTTCTTTCAAAAGAAATGTATAAAATTAGTGCTGTATTAGACTTACAGTATTTTATTTACATACTGTACAGACGATAATAAACTCAACTTACTTGCCTAAACTCTTCGTAGCATAGCGCTAAACAGCGGAAAGTATATAGATAATTATAATAAAGTTAAAATAAATTAAGTTAATATTTAATTATATATACAGTATTTAATTTATATATAATTAATATATAATTATATGTACAGTACCTAATTTATATATGATTTATATATTATACTGTACAAACAATAGTAAACTTAATTTACCCGTCTAACTTCTCCGTAGCGTGGCGCAAGACAGCAGAAAGTAATTAGGTTGCCCGATGACGTTTTACGGAATTATAAGAGTATTTTTACCATGTTTGTACGCGATACCGTCGCAATTTTTTCGCCGTCATATAGGAATCCGAACCATAACAACCCATGTTATAGGGGGTCGACTGTACTTCAGTTTAGAAATATGTAGGCCTAATAGTAAAAATACTCATATACACAATATTGAATTTTAATTAGTCATGTTTTTTTCTATTTGTGCGAGTTATAGAATTTGTCTAATGTGATTTGCTTTTCTCTCTTTTTCAGGATTTTTCAGAAGTAATTAACCGCTAGAACTTTATTTTTTTATAATAAAAATTAAAATTAAAAATTGTAATAGCATTAAAATTTTTAATTTTAATAGCATTATAATTGTAGAGTTATGCAAGCATATTAACCTAATTTGGTTTGGATGCCATTGTAAAACCGTTGTTCTGACATCCTCTCACTTCTTCAAAATATCGTTGTCTTGCCCTTCTCAACACGCGGAAAAGTTGTCTCGCGTACTATAACAATTCTCTCTTCTATAGGAAACAACATATGTATACTTGTGAACCGCCGGGAGGTTGGGAACCATCAACTTTCCTTTTGCGGCTACAGGTCGTTAAACCTGCTTACTTGTCAAGATGGCTAAATTTCAAATGTGGTCCCGAAGGGTCGAGATTGTTTTTGTCAAATCGAGTGGAGGAGGCGAGAGGGATCGTTGACGAGGCGTAGGCGATATGCGAGTAAAAGGACACTATTTAACAATGGAAACAACGATTTATTAGATTAACAAAAAATAAAGGTTACAAAATTCACTAGCTCCTAGCTCGCGGAGAGAAAGTTTACAATTATTTGTTCCATATCTCTAGTAGATTTCAACGTAGGCACAGAGTTCGACGCATGAAGTAAAAATTCTCGGAGACTTAATCCTTTCAGACAGTAGATGTGAGACTCCCCCAAGTAGGGGGAAAGAAGTCGGTTTTATAGCTTCGGGCAGGGTAAATTAGTCAGGTTATCCTCTATTGTGTGAGGTAGAGTTGGTTCTGCAGATGTAGAGGTTAAAGTTGTTCCCGGGACCAAGACAAAATGACGAATTCGGACTTAACTATAAACTTTTTGTCTTCAAAAGAGGAATGTCATTGTTCGATAGTTGAATGTTTATATTAACGATGAAAGTTTTAAGTTTCAATCGATATGTGATTCTTTTTTCCGACAATGTTATTTTAGCGAGGAGGCAACAAATTTATTTCAAATACGTCGAAAATTTTAGGAGGGAAAATGAACAATTTTTGCTTACTCTGAGGTCGGATCTCACAATACTTAATCTTTAGTTTCCTAATTTGTAAACTTATAACATATATACCAACTTCTCATCGTAATACTTTATGCTGTAATGCATATAACTCTTACACCTTCTAAAAATTTCAACCCAAATGTAATTGTAACTATAACATTTGTAATACCTAAAACATCTGTAAACTGGATGTGCTTACTGCGGAACCAGTTATGTAATGTTGGTTACAACATTAAAAGATGTGTGTGTGTTCTTCAAAATATGTTTAATTAATAGCAGATATTGGCATTAATCTTATTTTTCAGAAGCAAACATATCTTGCCGTGTTTCTTGGTGTTCTTCGTTGAAGAGTTCTTGAAGTTCTTCTGTCGTTAGATCAGTTTCAGGATCCATTTTGAGTTCTTCAATGTTCTTTATGTCTCATATGTGATTTTAGTTACTTCTTTACCAGCTTGAGTCTTCTTGATTGTACAGTATCTTTCTTATATAAGATTAGATTAGATAAGATTGAACTGACGCATAGTGTAGACCTGCTCAAGCCATACTGCCCAGCAACATCAAACATCTACCCATTCTCCACCTTTGCTATTATACTGTCACCTTTCGAAATAAATACCAAGGCAAACTTAACGAGTGCTCGCCCGACAGTCTTGCAAATATTGTACTATAAAAGAATTGTTTCTGTCAGAAAAATATAAAACTGGAATTAAAAGGGATAGATTCAAAGTTTGGAAAAATCCTATACAAGCAGTATATACCGGATTGAGCGCCGATGTCGACGTTTTCCGCGATTCGAAAAGATTCGAGTTGTCGCCTGAAGACAAATCAGATTGAATATTTACGTCGCTTCTTCTTATGTTTGTTCTGTAAGGTTAATTATCGGTAAGCAATGTGCAATGTTCGTTATCCGGACTGTTCGGATAACGAACATTGCACATTGCTTACCGATAATTAAAAGTGAATATAGTTATTAATTTAGAAAAATCAAGTAGCTTCATAATATCAAAACCATATTTCCATTCCTTAAATTATTGTGTGGATATAAATGTACCATGTACAATAATTTATTTGTAAAAATTCCAAAAAAAGGTTATTTGTAGATATAAACTGTGGGATATCCCTATAAATAATAATTATATCGAAATTTGTTTTCCATAATTATTTAATTCAATTAATATTTTCTATTTTTCAGGAAAAATCTTAAATCGATTTTCCAAAGATGTTAGTATTATGGACAATGTGATTCCTTTCTTTACTTATTTATCAATAAGGGTAAGTTAATTTTGAACACTTTATGTTAACGAAGCACACCGACAGTATAAAAAGTGTTTAGTCAGCGTAAGAAAAAAGGAAAGTGAGGGGCAGGGGAAAAAGGTAAGGAAATAGAAAAAAGAAAAACCTTCTGAGCGATGTATATTTGTACACCACTCAGAAGTTAGGTACAATTGTAGTAGGCACAATTGTACCTACTTCAATTATCGTTGGTGTGCAAGGCTATGGGTCCAAAAAATGTTAAATCGTAGCATACATTGTAAATAAGTTGTGCGGCTACATAAAAGCTACACAGAGTAAAGGTTAATGCTTAAAGCCAAAGAAAAGGCTTCAAACTATTACTAATATAATACAGATACTAATCCAGCAAGCTCTGTACGAAGCAAAATAATTTAATTGAAACAACATGAAAAAAGAATGAATATTTAAGTGAATTAACTCATATCTCTCTAAAATCTAACTGAAAACTAGTTATACTAATTTAACTTCTTATTAAACAAGAATACTAAGAAGGACCAACCAGACATGCAATGACAAATGACCTTATAAAAAATTTCTAATATTTTTACATATATGTAGAATAAAACAACATGAAGAACAATGAAAAAACCCGATTACTAAAGTAACGAGACACAACACAGAAGAACTAGCTGCTCAATTAACAANAATTACGATTCCTATAAAACTACGGAAAAATATTGACCGGTATCCGTAAAAAACAGTAAAAAACCCCCTATAATTACCTCAAACGTCATCGGGCAGCGGAACTACTTTCCCGCCGTCCGTAGCGCCAACTACAGAGAGATTTCTATCGTCTGGACAGTATTATATAAATTATACATAAATTAGTGAAGAACAATGAAAAAACCCGATTACTAAAGTAACGAGACACAACACAGAAGAACTAGCTGCTCAATTAACAACTGAAACAATAAATGCGAGCAAGGAAACATATTTGTTGTGTGTGCCATTGGGGAGAGCAACCACAAAAGCTTTGCTGTGGGAAATGAATGAAAATAAGTGATCGTACATTGTACATATCTAGATGAGTTTCTGTGGGGTTCATGGCTAGATGTATCCTTGCATAATTTTTGCTCTCGTTAAATTAATCCTAATGTTCGTCTATCTATCGCAACGGAAAATTATGTAAATAGCCGTTTGCTCTTCAATTCTGTATATTCAAATTTATGTAAAACTAGCTTACCGTCGCGCATTGCTGCGATCTTAAAAAAACGAAATTTAAGCAAACTCGTTAGGATAAAATTAAATATACATTTTATCATTTTTATTGAAACTTATTATTATATTATTATTATTCATTTTCATTGGGAAAATATTTTAAAGTTTCGTTTCAAATCTATTTATTTATTGGAGTACTTGTGGATACACGATATTTTTTGTTTTTCCATTGACGAATAAATCATAAGATTTTCTGACGCGTGAACAGGCCACATACAGTTGAACTGTACATGTGAGAAGCACGGATTCTTTAAATTTAGCCCATATACTCGCAGAGATTGTCAGAAGTACGATATTCCCCATTTTTATATATTTTTTTTAATCCTGTATAATTTTGATTATTTAATTGCTCCTTCCTCTCTTCCTTGGCATGTTGTGAAATTTCTGATAGTTGGATAATAAACCGTTTTATTGTAATTTGTCTTTTTAAATTATTTTGAGTTGATATTAAAATTTGGAAAAGGGGGATCCTAGATCGATAAAATAGGCGAATTTCCTCCTACAACTTCGGTCGTTGTTCGGGATACAGTTAAGGTTTTAACGAAGTTCGAACGAATACATAATTAGCAAAAAAAACAGTTGAAATAAAGTGATTAAACAAATATTATTACAAATATCGTAAGTAATAAATGCACATATATAGATATTTTTTAAAGGGGGAAATGGTCTTCACAATTTGAAATCTATCGAACACACTGTGCTCGAATGCTCATGTAAACACACGCCACCTATCGTAGGATAAATGTACTTCGCGGGAGTTTATTAAAAAACTTTCCAAAGTTTCATGGCAATCGTACTATGTCACAAACCTTGGTCGGAGTATATTAAACAACTTCCCAAAGTTTCACGGCAATCGGATAAACGATGTGGTAATGCATGAAGGACAGACAGACACACACACACAGACACACACACACACACATACATTCATTTTTATATATATAGATAAAATTATAAAAAGTAGTAAACATGAAAAGTGGTTGCCAGATAGAAAGGTATGTTTCTGAATTTTAGACACGCTATTTGGTTTTCAGAAACGTCAAATACAACAAATATACATGCACTGTAAGCTACTTTCATTATAAACTCTGCGAATGTTTGAGGTATATGCACTTCCATTGTTGTAGACAGTTTCGCTGTTGTTTTTAACCTGTTTCTTCATTCATTTTGATGAAATTCAGCAAGTCTTCCTTATTTGCTTGCCAAACTCGAATGATCGTTCGCACTTTATCTTGGAGTATATTTTCGTTATAAAAAAATTGCTGCAGCTATCACTGCACACGTACTACTGAATCCAAAACAGTGACCAGGCATTATAAATAATGACCAACAAAATTGGGCATTGTAATAAATTTCAATAATTTATCAAATTGACCGGTCATTATAAATACTGCTACCATCTAGTCGGGCAAAGTGATAATAATACGTTGAGGAGTGCTCATCGGACATTCGTTAGCCAATCAGAACTTGCATCTTACTTGCTCATGTGTATTGCTTTTAGTACCGAATTTTAAATTTATGTGACTAGTAGTTAATCATTCTTCTTTAACAAAAGTAACGATCATGGAGGAATCGTTAAATGTTACGAATAATCGCTTCAACAACCGATTAAGCGAGTTAATAGCAGAAAAAGGTGACGACAATCAAATTTTTACAAAATCAGCATATTTGTCAATGATACATAAATTGAGAGTCAAAAATGAAAGTTACTTCTAATTTACCGGAAGAATATCAGCGTTTACGTAAATATGACGTTGTATCTATCGGAAATTTAGAAAAATTAATTATGCCTGTAAAAGAAGGCAATGCAATTAAATATTACGTTCACACGGAAGAAATATGTCAGATATTGCACGATGCCCATATTGCTATTAGACATGACGGTAATAACCGCATGGAAAAAGAATTAAGTACGAAATATAAAAATACAGTCGACCCCCCTATAATTACGGTCCTTATAATTACGATTCCTATAAAACTACGGAAAAATATTGACCGGTATCCGTAAAAAACAGTAAAAAACCCCCTATAATTACCTCAAACGTCATCGGGCAGCGGAACTACTTTCCCGCCGTCCGTAGCGCCAACTACAGAGAGATTTCTATCGTCTGGACAGTATTATATAAATTATACATAAATTAGGTACTGTACATATAATTATATATTAATTATATATAAATTAGGTACTGTATATATAATTATATATTAACTTATTGTAACTTTGTTATAATTAAATATATAATTTCCGCCGTCTAGCGTG